GCCTCAAAGATTGCACAAAATATAAAGAACTGCAGCCAGTGAACTATAAGTTAGAGAACCGACAAACAGACTTACAACTTGAACAACATACGTAATATCAAGTAGTGGAACAATAAGATAAGTCATACTGCCAACAAGAAACTGGTACAAAATAGCCAAAAGGATGCAATTGGCAGAAGTGTTATGCACTGTAAACTCGAGAGGAATTTCAACAATCCGAGAATTTGTTAACCAAGCTTCGTGATAACATCATTTGCTTACTTTGGTTGAGAAAGAAGATACTCTATTAGTAGACAAAGCAACTTCAGTGCCCAAAACAACTCAAAAGTGGACCAAGATTCTTCATCTCAAACTTTTGTTGTAACTACATTTTGGAGAGGTTATATTTGTGTGGTGTTTCTACAAATTTGAACCAAGCCATTTGAGCTAAGTAGGATTTCTTTTTTCTGGCTGGGTTATATTCAGGGGACTTCATTGGATGTTTCAACTTCTTATGAAAAGGCTTAATAAAGTTAGAGGGGTCCATCCTAGGTCTTGGTTAGCCCAATGGTAGCCCTATTCCAACCCATTGTTACCTAGATCGTGAATCGATTTGGTACGTTGTATGGGTACGGATCGGTACGGTTAGGGTAAGCTTAGTCGGTACACTATTTTTTGTCGTGGTTCGGTTGTAACTTCTATATAGAATAATATATGGGTATACACATAGGTAATAAATATTTATTTTATATTTTCTATAAATGTTGTCAAAATATGAGTTTAAATAACACTAAAATAAAAAAAATAATAAGATAGAGTAATAATTAAAATTTAGGGTTGGGGTTAAGATGTGAGATTACTTAGATCATGAATCAATTTACCGTTTGAGTTCTAATTTGGGGTACGGACTTTGGGCAATCTGAATCTCCAACCCACTCCATTTCGGGTCAAGCAACCCCGGCTCATGGGATGCTAGTTATCTACGATCTTGGTATCTATGTTCCAACCTTTATGGGCACCATCGAGACTCTTTGCCAAGGGCTAGGGAACTCCAGTTAAGGCCCTTATCTAGTCCCTAGGGCTGGTGCATTACTTGTGAGGCCATATCAGCAACGTGCACTTTTATTGAGCTTCTTTTGTTGACGCAGAGTTTATCAACCTTAACCAAGAGTAATCAAGCATGGCTTGAGGGTGTTGCTCAAGGATAGGTCAAGCACTATTAATCACGGGATGCCATCCCTTTAAACTCATAGCAACGTTGGTGAAATTAGGCCCAAATATATTTAGATACTCAAAATCTAGCATATAGCAATTTGTTGGAAAAGGTGCTTTAAGTGCTTTTAAGTGGCATAATATGTATCATTGCAAAATAAATAAACAGGGTAGTGAATTCGGTAAAATAATTAAAGACCACTTTCATAAACAAACATCTCATCTCAATATATCACTTTCTTAAGCAAAGTGGCAGATGCCTAAAGAGAGATAACATAACATAATGCTATCTTGAGCATTCATGGTCCATTATATAAAGGAATACCCTCAACTCTTCTCTCGGTAATCCAACCACATGACATATTTCCAATCCTAGTCAAACTAGCTCCAAAACATACACTAATCTGCCAAATGTAAAAATAGGCTTGCTCTATTTTCTAAATTTTCCAATAGTTGCATCCAAAAAACAACTTCCACATATGATGCAAATGAAATGACACTAATGCAATCCTTAATCCTTCTATAACTTGTTTCATGCTTTAGTTTTCATCAAACAACATGTGCAAAGTTCAACAGTTTACTAGTATTATTTTGACAAAACTCATATATACCTTTGATCAATCAAAAAGCATTCCCTCTAAGTCCAATCTAATTGATCAGACTCACCTGATATTGCAGTACGAACCAACTTAAATTAGTCGATCTTCATTTAATAGCACTACTTGTATCTCCTTAAAACCTAATTTTATACTTGGTCAAATCTTATTTTACTTTCACGTATAAGCATTTCCTCTAAATTACTCTTATGTAGTTTTAGTAAAAACAATCATTCAATTCTCATCGCTGTAGTTTTTTCCAAATTCACAATCCCAACATCATCATTACATGTCATACATTGGTGGGAATATTCTCATCCGTTAAACATCCTTCTCCACCCCCAGTTAACTCTCTAAAGCAGGGTTTTGAAAATTGGACGATTCTCATCCCTTAAACATCCTTCTCCACCCTCATTTAACTCTCAAAACCAGGGTTTTAAAATTTGGCCGTTACGTAACGATATCGACAGCATCTGATTTTGTTACAGTCCAATTTAATGGATTGAAAAAATTCACACTCGTAACGGCCATTACAACGCCGTAATGGCCCGTTACTCATCTAGGAATATTTAAATCTTTAGTTTGGCAGCCAAAAAGGGAAGATCGTGGAAGAACAACTATGGTACTCTGTTCAGATTAAAACGGGTGGAAGAAGAGATCTAAATCTCATACAATACATAACTATTGAGTTTCTTCTTGTTGTGAAATTTTGTGGCTGATGTTTATAACTTTATATACAACAAGTTGCAGAGATGGGCCTTGAACGTGAAGAAGATGAAGTGGGAATGACTGGGTGCAATACACTCAAAAAACGTGAAGAAGATGAAGTGGGAATGACTGGGAGCAATACACTCAAAAATAGTTTCGAGTGTGAATGGTTATGATTGATTAGTTTTCATCATTGTTCCTCGTGATCCCATCATGACCGGCCAAGTGGGGTGTTAGAGATTACAACACTCCACAAACACACAAAAATAAGAAAAGGTGTTCCCCACGAAGACCACGTGTCCAAAACTATCCTTCAAATAGTCTCGTGTACTAAGTTAGACTAATTCTTTTTTAAAATTTGACTAGGACTAATTACTTAATTTAAAAAGTTAAATTAGGTCTACATTACAAATAATTATTAATTGTTTAAGATAATAAAAAGAAACTGGGTTTATTAAAATTAAGTCTATGTTTTGTTTTTAGGGGAGATGTGAATGATAAAAAATATTCACGTTCCCCATTTTCGTTATTATTAATGGTTTTTCATTATACATATTTTTAATATCTCACTAACATGTTTATTTACGATAAAATACACTAAAAATCACTAATCACTCATATTTGCATTAGTTTAGAGTTTAAACATATAAATATTTATGTTTATAGGTGTTGTGAGTCGAAAAAAAAAAATCACAGCTTTGATTTCCATTACTATTACGTAGCTCCTGTTTCACCCCGCGTCTATTACACTACCGTTACGACAGTCGTTACTGTTATTTAGAACCGTGATCTAAACTCAAACTACTAAATTCATCCTATCTATACCCACCACATTACTGACTAAATTCACCCCATCTATACTCACCTATTAATAATTAAGGCCACCATATTTTCTCCTCATCCATTATATATTCTAACCAAAAACTATTTTCTTCCCCCCAAGTTTTCCTCTTCCTATCCCATCTCATACACATTAATGTTATCCAGTAATATTTTTAACTTTACTATTTTTGTCCCTCTATTTTTATTCACATTATTATAGTGTTTAATGTTATATAAATATTACCAATTACGTTTTAATTTTGGGTGTAACTTAAAAGAGTCAACTCGAATCTAACCAAACAACTAAGCATTTAGACCAATGTTATTTAAGGCGTAAAGCGAACTGGTCTCCTAAGGCGAGAAGTGAGAGGCGAAGCAAGCATTTCATCGAAGCGAAGCGAACAATTTAAAAATAAGCAAATATTTTGTTTAATTATAACTAAAATTCAAGTTCTAACATCACAAATACTAAATATTCAAATACAACCAAAATCATAAGCATTTAAAATCAAATAAACACTAATAATATTTTTTTTTTAAAAAACAGAAACAATATTCCAGCAAAAGTAGAAAACCATCACACAAAAAAAATGATCACTACACTATAAATCTTATCATCACATAAAAAAAAGGGGGGGAAGAAGTAGAAGAGGAGAAGAAAAATTAGAAAAATCAAAATCAGAAAAATCAAACGAAGAAGGGGAAGAAGAAACAAAAAATCAAACGAAGAAGAAGAAGAGAAATACCGTCCGAGTATGGAGCAAATCTAGTGAATATCGCAGGAGCAAATCTGGTGAGTGTCGCAAGAAGGTAAAAAAGAATCAAAATTAGAACAAGAATAAAATAAGAGAAAATAACATCTAACTATGGAGCAGATATGTTAAGCTTCTTCACTCAGCCACTCACCCGGCTCGCCTCGTTACCTAACTCGCTTATTCCTTCCTTCTCTGAAATTCGCTTCACCAGGACTGTTCAAGACAACTTGGGCTCTCCTAAGCACGCTTTTCAAAACACTGATTTGGACGGTGATTCCAGTTTTCAAATCTCTTAGGGTTTTCTACCATGAATTTCTCAAGTGAAATATATGTAAGCATTGATTTTAAGTTAAATAGATTGTTTCAAGTACATGTATTGTATTTTAGGTTTTTAATGTGCATTCTAAATGTTAGTTTTTGTATTCTTATATTTTATGTTTTGTTTGATATTTATTAAGCATATTTTAGATGTATAATATTATGTTTGTATATAATTGAATATTAGTAATTTTTTATTAATGGCTAGATTTTTGATTAATCGTTTATGCATAAAATGGATGGACTTGAACACTATTGGGGCGGATATAAATAGGGTGGGCTTAGTAGTTTGAAATTAGGAAGTTAAATGGGTTGGCGAAGGAAATTTAAGAAGTGGGAATAATCTCAGCCCTCTTACATGGTTTGGTCTCACCTTTTTGCACTTTTCAATAGAAACATGTAATACAAGTTAACTATCAATAAACAAACACCCCAGCCGCTCTACTTCTTAATTCTAATGCTATTAGATGATTTTTAACATTTTACTTGGTAACAACCAACTGATCAGCATAAAACTCCAATCAAATACATGTAACAAGCTGAAATAGAATAAAGATATTCCCAGATTATCTCGCCAATGCATCTGATTTTTCCGAGAGGTTAAGACTCATCAAAAGAGTAAACATGTATTATTTTCATTTTCATAATTCATTATCTCACAATTGACTACATAAAGAATTAAGTGCTGGCAAGCATCAGTTACCAGATTCGAGTTTGACACTGTTTTTCTGGCTGTGGCTGAAGAAGAAGAATAACGAGAAGAGCCCGGAATTGGACCTTTGATGGGAAAATATCTGTTCTTCTCCGCATCGTAGTAAAACCCAGGAAGCTCTGCCGCCAGAAAAAATCATTTCAAAATTATTACTAATTGAAACAAATATGAATTGATATTGCTCAGGAAATCACATAAAACCTACAGAGAGAAGAGACATAAAGAACCTTGAGGCATCTTTGAAGGCAGACAATACTAAACCTGCCAGAGAGCGAACGAGAGGACGAGGAGTGAATTACAGCAGCGTAGTCCACGGGAGTGTATTGATGATGGAGAAAAGAGGAATAGATCAGAGTCTTCTAGGGTTGGAACACGCACAAATGAGCACGCGCTCGCCAGAGAGAGAGGAGGCTTGGAATAAAGTGCAGGCGGTGGAGTTGATTTTGAGTAGACAGATAAACGATGTGTGCGCGCGGGATCGGCTCTATTTTGCCCCGGTTCAGGTTGGTTCAAAAATCTATATTATGCAACACACCGTGTTTTCGAAAATAACATCTAAAAATACTCCTGCATTTTTACTTTTCCGCTCATATTTTTACCAATGATGCTGTTGAAATCTAAAATTTGAACTAATTTATTGTTTATAATGATATGTTAAGTGATTGAGTCACTCTTATTTTTCAGAGAACTTTATTCTCAAATTTGCTCTAATTAAGGTGATCAACTTAGAATTTGATAAAAAAAAAATGTGATTTGAGTCACAACACAATCACAATAATTCTAATAGATCATATAATTATCACATTATTAAGTTAATTTTTTAAGTCTTAATAGAATTAATCTATTTTCACACATCCTGCCTCTATATTCCCTCACTACTCACACAGTAATCACCCTCCCCTCTTTCTATATCTTTTCTCTCATTTCTCTCCTCAAATCTTTGCTCCTCCCCCTCCCCCTCCCCCTCCCCCTCCCCCTCACCACCACCTCCTAGCTCCACCAATGCCGAACAATGTCAAACCATTGCGATCCCCCAACGTCCATTGTCAAGTGACTCTCTCTCTCTCTCTCTCTCTCTCTCTCTCTCTCTCTCTATCTCTCTCTCACACACACACAGACACACACCCCTCTGTGTCTCCTCTCTCGCCTCTATCTAACAAGCATCTCTGCTCTCAAATATCATTTCTTTCATAAATAAACACTCTTATATCAACACACACAAACCACAATCAAAGTGATCATTTTTGGAAGCATAATAATGATTTTAAACAAGGTTATTTGAGCAATTTAAGGCTTAAATTAAAGTGGGATTCATACCTCAAAATTGGTGGAACCGATTTTAATGTGTTCTCCTCCGCGAGGAGATGAACATCGTATATTTATTTGTTTAAAATCATTAAATATTGAATGAGAAATTATATCTTAAAGTAACACATTTGAAGTGATAAAATAAACTAAGATTGATATAGTAGAATAAGGCTTGTCCCAAATTAGAATAAGACCAACATTTTGGTGAGTTAATATATTCTTAGTTGACTTCATGGGTTGTGCCTCCAAGGGGAACCACACTTTTGTGAGCAGAGCGAGCGCTTACATTGCTTTGGTTACAATGCACGAGTATCGCTCGCTCGCCCGCCTCGCCCCCTCAGAGCTCGGGCTTGTGTCAAAAAAAATATAATTTTTTTAGATAAAATTTATTTGATATAGTGCAGGTTATGGTTAAACCAATTGGATCCAAACGTGGATTATAATTAAATTCCCAACATAAATTTAAAATCCAAACGGAATTTTAAATTTTATGCCTATTACTTTGAATTTGGTGCTGAAATTAGGTCCGATTCATTCCAGAGGATCTATTCATTCCATGAGGTGTCTTTTGGCTATTCAAATTGAAAGAGTATGTCTCTTCAATCCGAATAGTGGCATCTCATACCTCTTCAGGCGATCTAAACATCCATCAAAAGTCTATAAATAGACTGCCTTCAAGACATTTTCAATCATCCCAATTCTGAATTCCTTCTCTCTCTCTCTCCCTCTCCCTCTCCATATTGTTGCATTGGTCATTCTTGTTTGGTTCAAGTATAAACACAGAATTGTGTTCACTGAAGTCTTGAAGATTGAAGTGATGCTTCTTCAAGAATGAAATTTGTTCTATCTTGAAAGATAATTGCTCATCAACTTTCAACATCGAGAGGGAGCAAATCTGTTTTAAGGAAATTGTGATTACACAGTGGTCGTATTAATATTATTTTTTGATTTTTCTAGATTTTATTTGTGCAATTCTACGTCGTTTTAAGTGCATTACTGTTTCTGTTTTATTAAATTAGTTTACATATAATAGTATACTTAGTGATTTAGATTTAGTAATTAGTGATTAATTCTAATTATATACATACATTTGATAACAATCTTAAGTCATATTGATATCAGATTTTTGTATTCTATTATATTATTGTTATACTTTATTAAAATCAGAATGTGTATTTGGTTTTGTTTGTGTAACAAAAATGGCTACAAATAATTGTACTCCTGCAAACATTGTTCCTATTATCGTGAGTGTGTCTTATGGAGAGAAACCCGAGAAATTTAATGGCTCAGATTTCAAGCGTTGGCAACAAAATATGCTTTTCTATCTCACCACACTGAACATTGTTAAGTTTATAAGTGAGGATGTCTCTGCACTTAATGAAAATGAAACTGACAAGAAGAAGTTGATTATTATGGATGCTTGGAAGCATTCGAATTCCTTGTGTAGAAATTATATCTTGAACAGACTAGACAATACATTATACAATGTGTATAGCGTTGTCAATTATGCAAAAAAAATTTGGTAGTCTTTGGACAAGAAATATAAGACTAAGGATGCCAGCATGAAAAAATTCATTGTTAGTAAATTCTTGGATTATAAAATGGTGGATTTGAAGACTGTTATAGCCCAAGTTCAAGATTTTCAAGTTATATTTCATGGCATTCATGCCGAGGGTATGTCTTTTAGTGAGTCATTCCAAATGGCTGTAATCGTGGAAAAGTTACCACCACTTTGGAAGGATTTCAAGAACTCTCTCAAGAATAAACGCAAGGAGATGAAACTTGAAAAATTAATTGTTCATTTGAGGATTGAAGAAGACAATCATAAATCTGAGAATAAAAATGTAGTTTTTACTTCCATGGAATCTAAAGCTAACATTGTGGAAGGTGGGACAAGCACTAAGAAGAAGAGGAAGCATAATGGTGAAGATTCAAATCATGGATCTAAGAAGTTCAAGGGTAAGTGCTACAACTATGGTAAACTTGAACGTCTCTTGAAGGATTGTCGAAAGCCAAAGAACTTCAAGAAACCAAATACTCAAGCAAATGTGATTGAAACGGACAAGCTTGCAATGAAAGTCTCTGACATGAACCTTTCAGCAATTGTATTTGAATGTAACTTTATGGGAAACCGCGAGGAATAGTGGATTGATACCAGTGCCATCAAACATATTTGTTCCAACAAATGAATGTTCTCTACTTATAAGAAGTTAGAGATTGATGAACAACTATATAAGGGGAACTCTTCTACCTCCAAGGTTGAAGGATGTGGTAAGGTGATACTTAAGATGACATTCGACAAGGAACTCACCTTGAACGAAGTGCTTCATGTGCCCAACATCCGCAAGAATTTGGTGTCCGACTCTTTGCTTAGTAAAAATATTTTTAAGTTAGTCTTTGTATCCGATAAGTTTGTACTTAACAAAAAATGAAATGTTTGTAGGAAAGAGATACTTGAATGATGGGATTTTTAAACTCAATGTAATGACTATTGTAACAAAATATCTTATCAATAAGAATGAGAATAATTCTACTTACTTGCTTGAATTTTCAAATACATGGCATGTTAGGCTAGAAGATTAGTCAATTTGAATGATTTGCATAAATTTTCTATTGATACAAATGATAAGTGTGAGACTTGTGTGAAATTAAAGTTGGCAAGAATATTTTTCAAATCAGTTGAAAAAAGTTCCGAATCTCTATAATTAATTCACAGTGACGTCTATGACTTAAAATTTGTGCAAACTAGAGGTGGTAAAAAGTATTTTATAACTTTTATTGATGATTATACAAGATACTGTTATGTTTACTTAATTAGAAGTAAAGATGGGAGAATTGATATGTTCAAGCATTATAAAAATAAAGTTGAGAATCAACTTAGCAGAAAAATTAAAACATTAAGAAGTGACAAGGAAGGTGAATATGAATCTCATTTTATGAAGTTTCGTTTAACACAGAATTTTTCACCAAACTATTGCCCCCTATTCACCACAATCAAGTTGGCATAGTTGAACGCAAAAGCTGAACATTGAAAAAAATGATGAATGCTATGCTTTCAAGTTCAGGTGCACCCCAAAACTTGTAGGGGAAAGTCTTACTATCTGCTAATTATATACTTAACAAAGTGTCTTATAAGAAAACAAATAAGACACTTTATGAATTATAGAAAGGTTGAAGATCTTCCTATAAATACTTAAAAGTGTGGGGGTGTCTAGTGATAGTGGAAGTTCCTAAACCTAAAAGTGTTAATATAGGACATAAAACTATTGATTGTGTATTCATTGGTTATACCCATAATAGTAGTACATATCAATTTCTTGTTCATAAATCTGAGATTTTTGATATACATATTAATATAATTATTGAATCAAGTGATACTTCATTCTTTGAAAATAGTTTTCCATTTAATATATCATGTGAATCAAACTCATTAAAGAGAGCAATTGATGCTACGACCAGTAATGGTCAAGTCAATACAAATAAGGAATTCATAAAAGATGAACCTTGATATAGCAAAAGGACAAAGACGTCAATGTCGTTTGGTCTTGATTTTCTAACTTATACATTGGAGATTGATCCTCAAAGTTTCAATGAAGCTATGTCCTCCCTAGAAGCTCCTTATTGGAAGGAAGCTGTTAATTCAGAAATTGAATCCATTATGAGAAATCATATATGAGAATTGGTGAATCTTCCATTCGGTAATAAACCTTAAAACTGTAAATGGATCTTTAAAAAGAAAATGAAAGCGAATGGATCTATTGACAAGTACAAATCAAGACTTGTAGCTAAATGATATAAACAAAGGGAATGATTAGATTATTTCGACACTTATTCACTAGTTACTAGAATAAACATCCATACGAATGTTGATTGCTATAACTGCTTTGAATGGTATTGAGATACATCAAATGAATGTAAAGATTTGCATTCTTAAATGGTGAATTAGATGAAAAAATTTACATAGAACAACTGAAGGGTTCATTACTAATGGACAAGAATGG